GAAAATCTAACGGATTTATGCATAAACGGGACAAATATTAAAGTTACATCATCTGAACAGAATACAAAATATTTATAAGGCCAAAATAAGTTATAACAATAAGTTTTACATCAGTTGAACAAAATATAAGCTATTTACAAGGCCAAAATAAGTTAAGAGCCATAAATTTCCGTTTAAACTGTATTTCCAGACTGACTTGTAATTCAATTATTAGTTGCTTCCCCGCGTATATATCAAAGTAATTCAATGATAACACATTTATATTTATATATATAAGAAAGCTTAAAAATAAGCAGTAATAAGAAACCGGCATTCGTCGGCATGGTGGTAATAAAAAAAGCAAATGGCCGATCTTTTCGGTTTTCCAACGAAATCCACCACAATGGCAACAAACAAAACATTTACCTGACAATTATCCCAACGTTAACACACAATAAACACATAAAAGACAGATAATTACTAGCAACTAATTTTAACACATTTATCGGCACAGCTAGCACTTTGAATTCAAACACCAAAAAGAAAGATTAAATCCAAACGAATCGGTTTTATGAGGACTGGTTGCCCAAAGAAACTGTATGGGCTGTGCGCAGACCATGCGCAAACGATGCTTTGTAAAAATCGATAAGGAAAGCGAGCAGTGGTCGTCTTTTAAGTTGTGTTACGAGGGGTTATGGAGAAGTTGTTGTTAAAAATAAAATTGAAATTAATTTAAAATTAATTAATAAAAGTGAATAAAAATTAACAGCGTAAAACTCAATACAAAATTCAACATCCAACCACAATATAGAAAAAAATGTTCCATATTATAGTAAAATTCCACCCAATTTTAACTCATTCAAACTTTTCCAAACAAAAACTGGTTTGTTTTATTATTTTGATTATTTTGTTATTTTATGTGACCTTCAAATACCCTTTTGTAATAATTTGCAATAGTAAATTGTAACTATAAAAATACATTACCGATGACAAGTAGAAATGAAAAAAAAAAAAGAGTTTAAATTAGGCATTCCAACGACCTGTCAAACAATAGGTGCCAGTGGGAAATTCTTGTATATCTAAGGGGGTAGCGACATAATATTGCAACTTGGACGCTATTTTTATTTGAAGTAGTAGTCGCCAAGCCTGCCAATTTATGAAGAAATGTATAGGTGGGTTTTTTAAATATTATTTTTATTGTGTTTGACATAAAATATTTAACTGTTATCCATTATTCATGATTTTACGTAAAGTAGATAGACTACACCGTATGTCGCCACCCTTAGCTATACCAAACCTTCCCACTGGCAATTCAATTGTTTGGAATGCCAAATTATAATTCATACTCAAGCACAGACATGACCTAAGGACCTGACTTGGATATAAGTATAGTGTCGCCATCTACATTCTATATCCATCGTCCTCCAATGATATTTCCATAAGGTTATCCTACTATAATATCTTCATACAACGGTAATACCTAGTCTAAGGTTTGGAAGCGGCCCAGTCAATAGTTTTGCGCCTAAGCGAAACCTTTCAAAATCAACGGATAGATGTAGCCACCTGTCCGATATTAGGCCGTACCATTTGTCCGAACCATTGTATAAAGAACTATAGTAGGATAATCGCCATGTAAAAGTTATTGGAGGCAATCGCGCCCGACATCTATTGGTACAATCATTGAACTAACGATTTTATTTACTGGTTAGATACGCCCTCTACGTCAGATGTTAGAACTTTATAAGTGACAATTCCGTCAAATTAATTGTCAGTATATATTTTTTTAAGTTATTTAGATTAAATATAAATAAAAATTAGTGATTTTTGTAAAGAATCAATAAATAATAGCATTCCACAAGATATTCGTCTATATTTAGAAATACACTGAGATTTTAATGAAATTAAAAGCAGTCTGATTATCAGCGTTAAAAAGTAAAATTTTTTCATAAGTCTTCATAACGAAAATTTAGAGTACTTGTCTACGAAATGAAGGGTTCCGAGTTCAAACCCCCGAGTGGACACTTTTTTTTTATTATTTAATTTTATTTTCTAAATTGGTAAAACTTACATTAATTTCAAAACATTAATTTTACGTTAATGACATCTAAATATAAGGTCCGGTAATTTTATTTAAATCTTTTGACAATAAAACTAAAAATTTGTGTGTCTAAAGGAGAAATATACCGAAAATAACAAGTATTTAAATTTTGCTAATAAATTTGTATTAGGTATGTGTTAAAAGAAAATACATAATTTTGGATTTGAATATACAGTGTGTCGCAAAATGTCTGCACCAAGAAAACGCACAAAATTACATTTTTCTTTAATCTACGTAAGAAAGTGCGAATTAAAATTTTTTTACTGAAAATTTATGGTACCTAACAGGGTTATTCATTATAAATTACCCTCCCTTTATGCTATAATTATTATTATATAATGTTTACATTGACCGAATTTTGTAAAAATGTCATCAAATGACCATATCAATGGTGTGCATATTTCACAGGATTTAACATGAATATTTTTTAATAAGCATAGCATAGATATATATTTTATTCAATTTTCGAAATGATCTTTATTCTTTCCTGATTAATTAAACGTCGAATATCATAGATAATCTATGTCGAATATCTTATAAATATTTACACTATTTCTTTCTCACTGTAAACTACCTATTTGGATTATTTTATTATCAAATATAATAGTTGTAATTTTCATAGCTTTTACTTTAATAATGTTAACTTTTTCATGTTTACATTATCAACGTTAAATTACTCGAGAACAGACGGTATAAGATAGGGTTATCAATAATATACATTTGTGAAATTAGAAAAAAAATATCCCAGAAATTTAATAACATAGAGGGTATCTCATTTAAAAAAGTTTATTTGTGTTGTATTCCGTGAAATCTGAATACGTGTTTTTATGGTATATTTAAAAAAAAGTCAGTCATATTCCAAACTTTTATTTAAAGCTTTTTTTGAATATGCAATAGTGGTTATAAAAGGTGTCTTTAATAATGAATAATCTTGTACATGATCTCAAATAAATTTGTTGAAATTAATTTCATTTGTAAAAATGTCACTTCCGCTTCTCCCGTATTGCTAAAAAAAATTGTAACCAGGTCCAGGATTTGATGGTGGTAAATATTAATTCTAGATACATTTTTCAAGTAACATTGTTCTCCTGTTTTTAGAAATAAAGGTTAATGTTTAGCCAAATTTTTTTTGGCCACACAGTATGTTTGTAAAATATTAAAAACTTCCCCTACTAAATATTTTGGCTCAAGCAAAAAAGATATCTTAAATTGATTATTGTTAGAAAAAGTAGAAATAATATTAAATATAATAAAGAAATTAAAAAAATAATTTAATTTAATAATTTGATTTAAAAATTAAAATTTTGGGTTTATATATATAAAAAATTGTAGATTTTAACTGTGTTTTTTTTAAGTTCTAACTTGATTTTTGGGGATGCCACACCCTCCATCTCCCTCTAGGGGATGGTGGTGGTAAGATATTTATACAAAAATGTTGCAAATCATTTCAATTGTAAAAATGCTAAAAAATAAGATTTTTATGTATTTGTAACTATTTTTAAATGCCAGCCCCCACATCCGAACTATGAAGATTAAAGTCGAAATTTTTTTAAAGTTTAAAAAAAATTTGGAAAATTTTTTACAAAAAAATTGGAATTTTGTGTTTTTATGTAAAAAAAATCGTAGAATTCAACTGTTTTATTAAAAAAGTTCTAACTTAATTTTTTGGGAATGCCACCCTCACCATATCAGATAGGGGTGGGGAGGGGTGAAGTTTTTAAAGCGATTTTTATTTTTATGGGATAATAAATATATCCATATACCAAGTTTAGTTTCAATATTTCGACCCTATCCCCAAAGCCGAACCCCAACCAATAATCCTTATAGAACCAACCCATTGTGTTTAAAAAAAATACTTCAATATTAAGAATTCATTTATATTATTTACCAACCATCTTAAGGGTTTTTTTTTTATTACATTGTTACGCACCAGATTAAAGAAATAAAATGTTGTTTATAATTACTTATGCTAACTTAGGTATTTAAATTAAAAATACAATTTTTTCAATACTTAAGAAATGTATTATTATTGCTATTATTAATATTATATAATTTATTTTAAATTAATTCGGATAAAACATGTAAAGGAAACGAAAAACAAAAGCATTTTATTAATTTCAAAACAGTTATAAATACACAAATTTTTTTTGGGAACTCCTCCTTTATTAACAGTAAAATAATTCAGTAATAAAACATAAACACAACTCATTCACAATACTTACTACCCGTAAACGCACTAACGCACAATAACAAACATTAGATAGAAAATAGTCCAAACATTCAATCACGAGTGTATAAAATTTCATCCAAGAGCTAAAAATAGAAATTTATCGATCGGTCTCAGTCATTCTTAAAAATTTCTGCTTGACCCTCAACTCCGCCCACTGCAAACGAATATCGACTTATCCATATTCACTAGCGCCATCTATTGGTAGTATCCATTTCGCTCCAATGAAACTTCCATAAGGTGAGACTACTATTTAGTTCTTTATACAATGTCCGAACTATGGCTATTGTCCGAAGTTACAGACTTTTACAATATGCATTATAAGTTAAATACTTACTAACAATCATATATTACCATTATTTTTAACTTGCTTGTATACCTGATAATGGTTTTATAGCCAAAACCGGTAGCCGACTTCTTCAATTTTGAATAAAATTGTATTGTGTATTTGATTTTGATTTTTGTTACCTTCGACCACATTTAATTATTGTAAATTCGAAATATTTTTGGTTCCTATTTGCTGATCTTACCCTATATTTATCAAGGATGAATCATATTTATATTTGATGAAGTTGCTTTATACAATATTGAATCACGCTGGTTTAAAAACACAAAACAAATTTTATTTACTCTAAATTGGACCATCATAAATCAGAAAAAAATACTTATTGATTGTACTATCATCCATATTTTCAGATTGTAAGCTGACAACTCAAGACGAGGATAACAAATGCAATTTTCGAAAAATCGTAGTTTCCTGGTATCACGGCCAATGTCAAAATCGACCATATGGCGGCTGTAATCCATCGCCCAACAACTTTTCCAGCAATGAGGAGTGTGAACAAATCGCAGCTGAAACATGCACGAATGCAATGGGATTATGGGAACAACTGAAAATTTATTTCATTCAAATTAAAGATAGTATATGTAATTATCTAGGTATTTGTAAAATAATCGGACTTGCAAGAGCTGAAAGGCTTGATGAACTATCCCAGGAGGCATGATAAGCATTGTAAACATGGTTCACATTTAGGGAATATAATAAATAAATATGATTTTACAATTACAAAATTAAAGTAGTATAATTTATTAAAAATAATTAACCAAAAGGCAAAGTTCAGCTTTCAGATTTGCATAAGCAAATATAGAAGCGCTTCCACTCAACCTCGATAACTTAAAGAAAAAAAAAATGGAAAAAGAAGAACTAATACTAAAATTATATCTAAAATAATAAGTATTAACTTAAAATACATATGATCTTAACTAGGGTGTTACAAAACTTGGCGTAGTATAACAAAAACAAAAATAATGAAAAACAATTTATTAGGTGAAAAATTGCTAATATAATCGAATTAAATTACCGGTTTTGAGCTTACATTAAATTGTAATTAGATGAAACAAAATGGATTCTATGTATTTTGAGGTGATCTTTTCGAAAAAAGGCGAAACAAAATGTAGCAGTTTTTCGAAAGTGCCGAAATTTTGGATTTTGTCAATTTTTCAATTTTGCGCATGCGCATGTCGCAAATAAATCATTATTTTTTAAACGTAGTTTATGACAATTGAAAGCTTAGAAAAAATGCTAATTTTTATGTCTTTTGAGAAATTTTGATCGGATGCACCGTTCTCGCGGTATGGACGATTGAAATTTGTTTAGTATTTTGAGGCGACGAAGGTCGAAAAATTGAATTTGTTAAATGTTCAAACACTAAATTCTTCATAACTTTGGTAAAAATTAAAATATTTGAAGAAACAAAAATTCGGTTTGAACTTAAGGGATGTGACTATTGATTCCCTGAAGGGGTCAAGAGAAATCCCAAAATTGGGCATATGGTGGAAGGGCAAAATGTACCGCAAGCCTAATTTCATTGTTTGCCTATAACGGCCAAACTGTTTAAATTTATTTAATGCCACTTACAGAGCTTACTCATAAATATTAAATCTTATACGTGTGTGAATTTTACCAAAATCAGATTATAATTGGCTAAGATATCAAACAATTTATCAAATTTTTTTTTCCTAAAAAAAAAAAACTAAATTTTTTTTCGAAAGTTTGAAGTGGCACAAAATGCCAAAAATGCACCCAATAACTCAAAACTTTTTTTTTGAATACTCTATTATGTTTAGAATACGATTAAATTACGGAAAATTCTGCAAAAATATTTTATCTATTTTTTTGACCACTGTTCATTGAGTGACGACCAAAAAACACGGTTTTTGAGAAAAGTTGCCTAAAATTGACGATTTTCAGTTTTTTGGTCTGAAAATTGAGCAAACCCAAATCTCATGTCTTCTCAATGTGTATACAAAGTTTAAAGTGTGTATGTTTCTTCTAAGTTGTAAAATTCTCCCGATAAAAGTCCCATTATACGCGCTCCGCGGGATCCAAAACTCGTGCATTTCTGTAAATTGATTTTTTTGTGATTTCCCGTTTTAAATTTCTTACATACCTAAATTTATTAGGCCTAAAATTCATGAAATTGTATTTTACTGACTTGTTATAAGACGTTTCTTGAGTTTTGTGCAAAAAATAGAATTACCGCAAAATTAGCCGGACGTCGTATCAAGGATAGTCATGGTCTCGACGTTTGCTATCCGACAAGTTTAAACTTGAAACGGTCATATTATTACAAATTGAATCGCTTGATAGTGTACATCGGCATAGATTTTTAATAACCGTGTTCAGCAAGCTCTGTGTACACGTGGTTTTTCGGACTTCTTCAGCAATTTATTAAGTAAGTACGTTCTTAAATTAAGAGCGATATCCATGCGACACCTAACAGCAAATTCAGGTTTAGAACACACTGACAACTTTCGGTGCATCTGAACGCACTTTGGCAACGTTGCTCTAACTATTCCCAGACTTACGCTCCCTTCAATTTATTACTTATAAACTAAAGATGATTTAAAATATAAAAAAGGCCGATAAATCGCAGGTCCGGTCTAACAAAGAGTATTTCTGTTTTGTTTTCTCGTTTAAAATATTTTTTAAAGGTATAACCTGGTGTAACATTTTCGAAACTCTTTTTTCTAACTAATAATTAATAATTTATTTACGAAATATATTTTTAAATATACATATGTATTTCTTATGATTATTTCGAAAACATATCTAAAAAGTACCTATTTCTACATTTTCTTATATACAGGGTGTTTGTTGGTAAGTGTGAATGATTTTAGGGAATGTTTGCAGAAATTATTATATAAAAAAACATAGATCAAAAAAGTCAGTGGCGCAGAATTTTTTTATTAAAAAAAAGTGGCATTCTCGCACAAACGCCACTGCTGCAAGTACAAATATTTGGAACACCCAAAAAAATACACATTTGTCCCTTCAAAGTTTTTTTGCAAATTTAGAGTAAATATCTTTAAAACTATTTGAAATAATTAATAAAATTTAATAAATTAAAATTTAAACATTCTGTATCCCGGAAACGAAGCATATTTCGACCTACTTTTATAGGAACTTTAATAACAATTTGCAAAAATCTTTCGTACTTATTTACAAATACCCTCTATAAAAATACGTTTTTTAAATCATAATCCATTTAATACTAGTTTGTGCAACAACAGTGGACAATCCACTGGAGTTGTACAGTATGTTTTTTTCTACGACCCACTAACGAAAATCTACAAATTTAAAGTATTATTTTAGGAAAAGACAAAATAACTAATTTTAAAATAATTTATGACTTTACTAATTTGTGAAATAAAATAAACTTGAAGCCTAGATTTGAACTAGGGCCTCTCGCGTGAAAGACAGATGCCGTATCCTCATTTTCACTTCTACATTTGGAATTTTAGTTCTAAAAGTAATTAAATTAGTTTCATATAAGTAGTTTGATTCAAATTTAAGATTTTTTAAAATGTGGTCCAAATAAAAATAAATTAAAATAATTTATGGATTCTACTCAAAAATAAGTCATTTTAAATATTTTAATGTATATTTAATCTCAATACCTAAAAAATATACTGACAATTAGTTTGACAGAATTGCCACTTATTTAAAATGTTTAAAATAATAGTAGTGGGTGTCCAATATATAAACTGTGATTGGTGGATTTCATTTTTTTTGCAGTGTTCTCACTACCTAAAATGGATATGAAATATATTCGTCGAGTTGAACGCAATAGTATATTTTTTCATTTTGTAGTCTGTGCGTGAATAGTAGTTTGTGCAACAAAATTGGATATGATGGCCATATCGCACGAAGACGAAGTTTGAGAACGACGTCGTAGACGGAGTGGTTAATCGTCTGAGTGCAATACGGACAATCCACTCGAGTTATACAGTATATTTTTTCTACGACACACTAACGAAATTCTACAAATTTAAAAAAGTATGTTATTGAGACAAAATAAATAATTTTAAAATAATGTATGACTTTTACTAATTTATAAAATAAAATAAATAATTTAATTATTCCCCAGCCCTGATTTAAACTCAGGCCTCTTGCTTGGAGACAAACTCATCCGTGCCCTCACGCCATTCGCCACAATTGCCATTTTAGTTCTAATACTTGTAATTAAATTAGTTTTATATGGTTTAATTAAAATGTAAGATTTGTTTGTAAATTTGGACGAAATAAAAATAGAAATGCTATTACTTATCGATTATACATAAGAAATATTCATTTTTACGTATTGTAACCATAGTCTAATTTATTTTATAGGTTATTTATTTAAAACACACTATTTACAATTTATTTCAGACGTACTAATTAATTTATATAATACTTAGACACTGACTAACAATTCTAAATTATTTATAACAATTTAACTTTTTATAATACTCTGTACTAAACTAAACAGCCCGACGATGAGTCGGGCTATTTATATTAAGTCCAACTCTGCTACTAGAAGTCTCTAGACGGTCCCGAAAATTTCATCTCTGACTCAACGGCACACTCTACCCGTTTCTCGAGCCTTAGCGGCTTTCCCAGAACATTCCGTCGCCTCGAGCATAAGTCGGAGCCAGCTGAAGGTCGCGCTTGCTTTAGACACAGGGTCGGATTAGGAATTTCATGACAGTATATTGAATCTCAATAATTCAAAAATATACTGACAGTTAGTTTGACAGAATTGTTAATTACATAAAATTTAAAAAATAATAGTAACCGGGTGACCAAAATATAAGCTGAATGGTGGATTTAACTGTTTTGCAGTGTTCTTACTAGGTAGAATGGATATGAAATATATTCGTTCAGTTGAACGCAATGAAATAATTTTCTGTTTTGTAGTATGTGCGTAGATTAGCTAATAACCATGTGGGTATAGGAAAAATTATATCCATCTGGGTGTAGAAAATAGTAGTTTATGTAACAAGAGTGAATTTAAATAAAATGGATTTCATATAGTTTTATTAAAATTTATAATTATTTATTTCTAAAAATAGATCAAATAAACATAGAAATGCTATTATTTATCGATTCTACACAAGTATAACTCATTTTAGGCAATAGCATATTTTTTTCGTTTTGTATTCTGTACGTAGATAAGCTAATATCCATTTGGGTGTAGAAAAACTTGTTTTCTAGTACTAAAAATATATAAAAATAACATTGAGTAAAATGATTTATTATTAGTAAAAGAAGAAATAAAAATAATCATCTTTATTGACTATTGGTCGGATTTCTACTCGGATTTCTACTCGGTTTTCTACTCGGTTTTCTACTCGGTTTTCTACTCGGTTTTCTACTCGGTTTTCTACTCGGTTTTCTACTCGGATTTCTACTGGGATTTCTAAAATCTAAACCTCTAGCGAAACGTGGATCTAAGATCTCGGGTACTATACAATCTAAATAAAATTGCTATAGTTTGCTTTCCATATACACCAAAATCTATCATCTTTTTTTATTTTTTCTACAAACATACCTAAAGGTATCAAATACTTCGTTTAGTTACGTGAAGTTGCCCCTGAACCTGGTAATAATAACAATTATGATTTCGATTTAATTGCATTTTGCCATCATTAATAATTGCAAATTTTATTATGTTGCAAACCCTTGATTTTTTCGTAGTCAGTTTTGAAGCAAGATATTTAATTTCGATGATACTATCGGTTCCTAATAA